ATTTTATATATATATATATGTAATGATGAAGATGGTGAATCCCATTCTCAAAATTTTCCGGGACAGTGAAGTGAGATTACAGAGATATGTATTCCCTAATATCCCAGTGAGTATCTTGGACACTAAAGGGAGTATATGAAGGCAATAGATGAAAATACTTTGGAAGCCTTGCATTAGTATTTTCAAGTTTAACAGGTTGTCTTGAAGCTTGTGGATAGATGCTTGAAGTATAGTCCAGTAGGCCATTCTGCATACTTTTTTATTTTGAAAGGGCAAATTTTTAATTAGGAAACATTACTCCAGCTCTCAAAATGCCCCCCCTCCCTTTTACTAATCATGCAAACATATAATGAATATGCCCCCATAGATTTTGTATTTGTAGGTTATAAGGAGAGACCACTGTTATTTTTGTGTGTTTATTGCTTTTAGTTTACGCTCCAAGATGTAAAATCTTGCTGTATTAACAGAGTCCAAAAGCTGTATGGAATGAGTGGTACAGGGCTGGGTACACAGCCCTGATCCCAGCTACGTATGCACAGGTTTGGATTGTTTTGTCAAACTTATGTTTTAATTATGCTAGTGAACAAACTATGCATTTTGTTATGCATAGACCAGGGATAATGCTGAACTATGTAACTCTCTGAGTCAGGATACATAGTATAATGAGGACAGAGGATATTTAGGCTAATAATTAAAGGGATGTTTGAAAAATTAATGGACCTAGGAAAAACACATTTCTAAATTGCTAATCTTGCACACCGCCACACTGTAGCCAGACAGAGACCAACAAAAATTAATAAGGTTATTGTAATTATGTGAAACAATATGCAAGATTAAGCCCAGAAGATTAATTATTTAGGAAAAGTAACTCAAGATACATAAAGATTATCAGAATTAGCTGTGGTGATCTGAAAAGGAAAATATTTTGGTGATATCACTGTTAGCCAGTGAGAATCTGTAGCCATTGCTCATATTGGGTATCTGGAAACAAAAGCCATACCCTGAAGTGGGACTTCATGTGTAAGGAGAGAGCTCCTTTGTGACCTGAGAAATATGGAGTAGTCTTTTTGTGTGAGCATTGTTTAGAAGTTTGCTAGACAATGTGATTTTTAAGAATTAACTTCTTCCAGTTTACTTTGACAGCAAATTAATTACCTTGGCTTTTGCATTACATGGATTTTTTTTTGTTTTGATATGAAAAGTTCTCATTCCTTACTGCAGAGAATGAAGATAAAATTCTGTAAAATTAGGTGATTTAAACTCCTTGCCTCTTCTTAGGTAACAAAAAATGAACAAGAAAGCAGGCAGAACTGCATCTCATTGTGAGTGCTAGACTGTGTGTTTTCATGTTCATACTTCATGCAGTTTCAAAGGAATCTTTATCTTTGATTATTTGGAGCGTTTGTTCTTTTCTTTTATAGTTCTCTTTTTTCACTTCTTATTTTTATACTTTCAAGTTAAGAGTTCTTTTGCAATGTATCCCACCTCTGGCAGAATGTAAGCTAGCTCAGCCTTTTTAGAAATAGCTGCCATTTTTGTATGGAAACATTTCAAGTGATCAAATTCAGCCCTGCCTGGGGGTTTCTACCCTGAAATATTAGAAAATCTCGTGTGAATTGCTTACCTAAAGCACAGTAGTAAAGCATTAGGGGCTGACAGCAGTTCTTATTACAGTGATGGTTTATCTAGATAGAATTTTTTAAGTTGTTTTCCATTACAGAGGTTCCCTAAATGCTTATAATGCTGATATACAAACTCTGATGGGGTCACATATGCACTTCCCATTGGATATTTTTCAACACACGGTAACAACATAAGAGTCTGATTCTATATATTACTACCCATTGAGATAAAGTCCAGGGGATTCTCTGTGTATGACAGTCTAGTTTACTTCAAAAATGGAGTGAGCTTCCCCAGAAGCTGAAGATGCCTCACCACCCTCTTGGGATCAAATGTTACAAAGAGCTGAGGAATTTGTGCATTTGAAGGCAGGCATATAATTTTTTTCCATTTCAGACACAGCAGAGGAAAATGAATGTAGTCACAGGGCATATGCCTTCCTGTTTGCTTCCCAGCCCAGATTAATCAGATCCACAGGTAGAGTCTACAGAAATGAGATGTGCCCTTTCAGCAACTAACTCGAACATGCCTCTGTCTTCTCTTTAATGTATAACTACTGCTGAACTCCAGCTATGTCCAGATCTCTGAGACAAAAGGAATAGGAAAACTGTGATGCAAGATAATGATGACCTTTACCTTGTGTCAGAGGTAAGAGAGTTACTTTTTGTCTGATCTTTCTTCCTTTGATAGGTAGCTGTTGCCCTTTCTTGCCAGAACAATGTAAAGGAAAGTCCATGCAGACATTACTGTGCAGAGAACATTGTCTGGCCCATCGCCTAGAAGACAGTACTCTAAATGGCAAAACAATTGCAGTGTTGAATAATGTGCTACCTTAACCCACCCTGTTAATCAGTCTCTGCTTCTTAATGTATTGATGATCTGGATTTCTTCTCTACTTTGTATTTTGTACTCATGCTATACCTTCTCTTTTCTGAGTGAAAATTAGAAAATACAGACTTTTTAAAAAAATCTGAAACTGTCAGAAAAAAGGGACTCTTGTTCCATATCTTGACTGTTCTGAAAGTAACAATAACAATCTACATAACAAAATTGCACAGCTGAATAGAATTACACTTCTTTGCTCTAATTGAAATGCCCTTAGGAAATTCATGTTAAAAATAATAATAATAATAAAAAAGATATAGTTTCAAATTCTTATCATTATACAGTTCAAAAACATCCACAATTTTATTTATTGGCTGCTAACACTACCTGGACAGAGGGCAGTGTTATTGCAAACCCTTGATTCTCTTAAAGGGCCGCTGCAGTGTGTCCCGTAAGGTGATACACAAGTTCTGGTTCGCACCTGCGACCCTTGACCACAAGTAACTGAACACGTACTCCACTGGGCCCACTCTTCAACACCAGATTCACCTGTATCCAAGACAACAAACAAACATGAATATAGACATAAGTATTAATGAGACTTTTTTTTTTGCTGAAGCTCATTATCGTCTGCTCTTATAAATCAAAGAAAAAAGTACAACACGAAAATAAATATTTAAAAGTTCATGGAGTAAAGCAGCTGTGAAAATGTGCAATGAATAGAAAATAAAGACACCTACAATGCTGCAGTCACATAACGCCTGTCAGAGGGAAACACTTTGATCGCTTAGCATCATTTACAACTTCATGAGAACTACTGCCCTTCAACATTTTAGAAACAACACTGCCCTCAGGATGCTAAGAGAGCATAGACAACTCTTTTTATATAATAGCAAAAGATTTATCTTTGATATTTATACTTACCAGTCTAGAATGAAGGCTAGGTAATAATTTAAGAAACTCTGCCAGTAAGGGAATTTTGATTCAAAAAAAACCCGAAACCCCCTAATTTCTTATCTTGAGCAGAGGAGAGTCATCTAGCATTTGAGAGAAGTTCCCTGGCAAAGAGAAGCACTTTGCTTACCAAACTTTAACCTGAAGGGTGGGATGGGAACTTTGGTTTGATCATTTACTGCACAGATCTGCTCCTTCCTTTTGACCCACAGGGGTGCTAAACTCTTGGATGCCCTAGATCTCCTTACTCTGTATAGTACATACCACTATGTTCAAAATGGTCAGATGTGATTTATTAATACCATATATTTGAATAGTGTATTTTTTTTATTGTTGAGAGATAGCACATTATATTATTTCTATTTTTGGAAAGCAAGTAATGCATGAAGTCTTGCATGGACGTTCAGGAAAGAATGCTTAAATTCAGTTTCCATGAACAGCCACACACGCAATTCTGGAACTCCTTTCCCAAAGGCATTCATGTTCAGAAAACTGGATCCCATGAGTATTCTCAGAAAGCAAATACAAAAGTGATGTGAATATACCTCACTGAACAATTTGAGTAAATAATTGTGAATTCATATTCACCTTCTTCCATTAAAAATCAGTATAAAATGGCACGCTGAAGGCTCTACTACACCCTTGATTTTTAAACCTAAGTCCTTTTTGAAACAAATGGGATTTTCTGCTTTAAAATTAGTGGCATGATACAACCATCAGTCTTGAATTGCTTGCTTAAAAATTCAGTTATCTTAGTATACCTCTAGTCTTCCAAAAGTTTTTATATTGGTCACAATCAAGGGAATGTCTGCAAACCAGGAAGAATCTGGTGTTATCTTCCAAGAATGCAGTAAATTATATACTATTTCTTGAAACTGTGCCTTTGTGTAGTAAGCACCTGTCCAAACTCTTTTTTTTTGTTTCCAAAGGCCAAGCATGAAACCTTTGCAAAATGCTTGTCTCTGCTAGTCCTCTAAGAAGCAATTCTGAGGCTATTCAATGCTCTAAAAAAAATATGTGCTTCTTATTCTGAATTATAAAGACAAAATTCTTTGTAATTAGCACATAAATCCCTCTGCTTTTCATAAAATTATATACAGTTTTAACAATTTCTGTGGACAAGGACAAAATGATGATATTTTTTACACACAGAAGTTCACCAAAGTGATTTTTGTAGTAATTTTCTTTTTTTTGTTCAGTGAAGAAATGAGAAATTTAATCACTGATTATTGTTTTCATCATTTTTCTGATATGAATTTAGGATTTTGATTAGGTTGTTACATGGCTCGGGTTCAGGTTAGAGAATATAATATGGTGAATATAGCTAATATATAAGTAGACAGTAGCAATTATACAATGGGTACTATAAACTCTATGTACATGGTAAAAATACTTGTATTACTATGGGTTTCTAGTCTAATATTTTTTGTCTTTTCCTACATGTTTGAAGCTTGACTTTGCCTTTGTCAAAATGGTTTAGATGAAAGGTCAAACAGCAGAAAAAGTCAGAGTTATGTTTCTCAAGATGTTCCTCATTATGTAAAACAGTCATATATACTCAGTGTAAATTATCCGTTATCCAACACAGACATAGTGACTCCGCATAGCTAACAAAATACAGAAATGAAGTACTAAAAATTAAAAATGCTGGAAATCTTAAAGTAATAAAAAGTTGCTCTTAAGCCTTGGAATATGATGAAAAATAGCAGCAACATGATACTAAGAAGTGTGATTGCATTAACTGAATTTTGAAATTAATATTAATCATTAGAAGTCCTGAGCATATATGTACTGTCCATTCACAAAAGGCAGAATCTAGCAATATACTTCAATGTAAAGGCTTAAATATTTGCCGGTGCAAGATCCTCCACACTAACAAGATGTTATGTGCAAAAGGAGTGAAAACAGAGAAAATAAAGAACAAATTTATCTCACCAACTACTCCACTTCCTTTTGCACAACGTATTATGATTTTTTCGTAATTTTTAACTTTTCAGAGTATTTTGTACTCTGTCAGTATGATAATTACTTATTTTAAAATATTTTAAAGAAGGAAAACATCTTTGAAGACTTATCATACTTTAGTTAACCATCTTTAATATAAGCACATAAAGACTTCTTTACTTTCTAGAATAAACCTAGATTGCCTACATAATCTGCAAATACATCTTCCATTGTTTTCTTTATCTGTTTTCCATTTTTTTCTTTTCTGAAATAAAAATTTCAAAAGGGCTACTTTTTATTTTCCTTCTAGTTTTCAGTTACTTGGGAACTCTTAGATTTTTATGTCAATTGTATTAAACCTACAATCTCAAATTAACTATTGGCAAGCTTCCAAACCCTCATTTTCCCCTGCTGTTTGACATGTAAGAGGAAATATAACTTACTGTATGGAAGGCCTCATTGATCTGTGTAACACTTACCTGTATTATACTCTCTAAATCCCATAACACCTAAGGGAAGGATCAGTCCAAACATATAAAATGACAAATATAGGACAATAAATTATTCAACAATATTTTTTTTTAAATAAAATGTTTTACTGCCTCATATCACTCACAAACAAACAGGAAAATCCATATTATAATACCACATTTTAAAACTCTTCCATTCCCAGCAAAAATTCGGTGGATTAAGTCCACTATTCTAACAGTACTAAATGCTTCTCATAAATCTTTTCCAGGACAATTCTCTATTCCTGTCTCTCTGCCTTTTTAAATCATACAAACATTTTATTGCACTTCTGCATCTGTTTTATTATTACACAAAATAAAATATTAAACAGGCTTAAAATATAAGAAACCTCATAAACTCAGTATCCATTTACTTTAAAGGCTATTAGACTTCTTAGTACATAGGTAAATTCATGTGATAGATATATTAGAAAAAACCTTATGAATCAGTTTAATAAGATATCACATTAATTATATCACAAGATGAATGCATTAGAGGTGAAGAAAATATGCAATGATCACTACAAAGGAAAATCAAAATGAAGAGATGAAAATTAGTAAGTATGTCCAAAAAGAGCACAGTATTACTTAAAATGTGTTAACCTACAGTATGTAAAATACAGATTTCCTCAAAGTTGGGCATGTAAATTTATATGCTCTGCTGATACATCTCACGTGCTTTCAGAACAGGACCTTGAAAACCAAGCCTGAATAATTTTGAACGTTCATCTCCCACTCCACACACACAATTTATCAGAAAGTGATGGTATAAGTGCCGCATTTATAATGCGGTTCTCTAACACCCGTAATAGATGCACTGCAGTGCATGACTAGAAATTATCAAATACAAGTTTTACCTAATAATATGAAAGTTTTAGAGATTTATATGAGGAAATAAACCAGATCATCTTACTTATTTTTTGGAGTAATTGTATGAATTCAAGAAGCAGCATAAAAGCAAAGGTGTTATTCTATGTAGTAAGCAAATAACATTATAAGTCTGAGCTAGGTATGTAAGTAATAGGTTTTACTTGCCTAAATAAAAACTGCATGGAGACCAAGAGGGTTCTAGGCTCCCTTCTTCCACTACATTTGCTTGCAGTAGTATCAACTGGGAGTTAGCCATAAAAGTAGTCCTATAGATTAATAGGAGGGAAACAGACTTTTTCCCCTTCTAAATTCTTTACCAAGCAGATCTACACTGATTGGCTATAGATGTATTTAGATTATTTAATATATCTATTTCTGCAAATCTGTTAAGTAAAGCACCCTACTACTAAGGAAGTCAACATGCAACATAACTAGAAGCAATTATAGCTCTTTTACTAAAGTGAATATAAAACTGGAAGCATTATGTATGACTGATGCAGGCATATTTTCTAGGTTAGTAACTATGAAATACAGAGTAAGTTGTTTCAAATCCATACAATAATTATGGGGCACAAGATTTTCAATGCCCTAAG